TTTTCTGGCATGCCAGCACTCCAGTACCTTACAAGTAGACATTGCGGTTTTTTCGACACTCTGGCCAAAAATATTGCCTACCGCTGTTCTAATGACTGATTAAATTCCTAACATCCTCACCTAAGGATGAGCTGGCCTTAGTATTTAAATACCCAAAATATATTTCACTACACCTAAACTGTAATCTGATGCATTGTGATTTTTGTCACTTGTAAGAGCTGGGTCTTCCTACCTTTAAGTAGGTGATATCTAAGAAAATTCCATCTACTGTGTGGAGATATTCATGTCTTAGTAGGTAGTTCTTCAAACCATTATCAGATCAGTAACCATGCATTTTCATATTGGCATCATGTTGCTGAAAGTAGGGTTTTAGAATGAAGATATTAAAACCATTCTAATTACTTGGACTCACTGAACATTCCAAAGGCATTTCAGCAAGAAGAGGGGAATATCTGGTCCAAAATCTATTTAAGATTAAGGATTTAAGATTCTACTTTCTGAAGTCCCTTAGCAGTTTCATTTGACTAAGATAAATCTTATTTCACTCCTGGAATTGTAATGTGTGCCACTGACTGCTATGAATTAGTTTGAGATTTCATCCCACAAGTGGATGTGTTTCATTTAGGAGTGAGTGACTGTAACTTTTAGATTGTTTTGAGCTCCTTTTGAAATAAAGGAAATATGCAAATAGGAGGCATTAGTGCACAATGACTGTATTTTAATAGTTCTGCACTTTGTATATTTACAGTTTAACTAGCATTTTGTTTGTTTCTGGACTTAAAGTACAAAAGTGTTGGAAAACATCTTTATTTAGAGGCAAAGAATTGTATTTGTGCTTCAGTTATATAACTGTACAAAAAATCAATGTCTGGCTAGTTTTTTAGTGAAAATAACTGAAAACTCCAAAAACATTAAAGCTACTTTTTAATTAATTTCTTTCTAATCAGGGTAGTTGTTATTCTTAGTCATTGCACCCAATTTATCTGAGATTGGAAAAACTTCCCCATAGTGTACTATGTCAAATATACTGACTAACAAATACAGGGAGTGGAAAATTAAATGCTGGGATTTTCAAAAGCCTGAAAGGGTTAGTTAGGTTGGTACGCAGCTTCCATAGACTCCTAACTCCATTAGATTCCTTTGAAAACCCAACCAAATTCTTTCAACTGTTAAACTATCAGAAATGTTCATCTATAAAACTATAAATATCTTATACCCAATCACATTAATTAATTCTTAAACTGTTTAGGTATTCTAAAGAGTAACTGTAAAAAAAAAAACAACCCAACCCCCTGATTCAGCAGATCTTTCCTTTTATGCATCTAGACTCATTTCAAGTGAGGGAAACAATTTTATCTTCTTTATTTTCCTCCTATTGGCATTAACACAGCTAAGCTTATGTGCACTTCAGTGAGTTTGTTCTTGGTCTCAGCAAAATCACTTAAAATGACTCCTTTGTGAAGACAATCGGAATGAAAGCATAACAGTAATTTTTCCTGCAGAATCTTTAATAGTTATGATCCTGGCTATGACCGTAAACTGCATCTGACTGGAGGGCCTGGTGGCAATGTGGTGGGGCTACTTTTGGCAAGGAAGCTTCTGTAAAATACCACATTGTTGCAACCTCCAGAGTAAGGTGAGTATAGGGCACTTCAAAATCCAAGCCCCCAGTGCCTTCTCTTTGTTTGGAGAAAAGCTAAGAGACATCACCCTGACAGAAACGCATCCTCACTGAGGCATTAGGCAATCAGCAGCAGTTCTTATCTGTTCCTCTGTGGCAGAAGCTACAACCACCAGGGCACTGAATGTATGGAATCGGTTTGGCCTTTGGATTTTGTCTCAGTGGTTTAAAGGAGAATGGTAAGTCTTGGGCAACCTCCACTCCTCCATACTCTTGCCTAGGTGTACACATCAAAGGTCTTTGTGTGATGGTTGCAGGACTCCCTACAAGCTGATTCATCAGGCACCTGACTAGACCTCTTTCATGTACACCATGATCCAGAGGATCAACACTTGCCTACTTTGTATACAAGAATGGAAAATCCAATATTACTTTGAGATGGCAAGATGAGTTTTTTTGTCTCAGCAGTAGGAAAAATCTCTGTAAATCAAGGATATCAGTGCTAGAGCCATTGGGAACTAGGCATGTGTCATTTTTAGTCAGTCTAGACCACAGATGGCCAACCCATGGTGCACATGCTGGTGCAGGCAGCTGCTGTGTGTGGCATGCAAGCACTGGGTGTCCAGTAAAAGGAGGTGCCAGAATAAAGGCAGAGAATGAAGTATTCCATGGAGGAGAGTCTAAGACTGCTGCTGCAAAAGGATGTGTCAGTGCTATAAGCCAGGTTAACCCTAACCTTTACTCATGGAAGTGCTGCAACACTGTACGCTTTGAAAAGCACCCAGCGCTGTGACGCTTGCAATTTTATAAATGGCAAAATGTGCGTCAGCATGGAGAAAATGGTGGCAGCGCACCTTTGGACTAAAACACATTGGAGGTTCTGATGTTCAAAAGCACACCACCACCATTTTCTGCATGCTGACACGCATCTTGCTACTTATACAGCTGCATGCAGTGCAGCACAGTTCACCTCAGCACACGTGCAAAGCAGACTGGATTAATCAAGTCTGCTCCAAAGCGGCGGATCTCCGGCATGTTGTGGGACAGAAAAGTATGAGTATAATTGCCCTTAGAAACTAATCCATTCAGAGAAGCATGACCTTTCAGAGGCAACAATTTATTTCAGGGCTGTCCAACTTGCAGCCCATGGACCACATATACCCCCTGGGGGGTTAACCTGAGGACCCCAGGTTCCTGGTCCAGGTGCCACTTGTGTCACTGGAACTGATGCCACTTCCACCAGAGTCTACAGACTTCTCCCTCCTCCAGCTTCCATTGCCTGTCCCTACACCTAGGGCAGAACAGCATGGTATGGCCTGCAGGGCTGAGCAAGCCTACAGCCCGGGGTTTTGAGGGGACCCAGGTACCTCACATGGTACAGGAATTCTGGCACAATGCAGCTTGGAGGAAGGGGGCATACAGAATGGCAGGGGAGGGCATATAGCTTATGATGCATTGTTGTGGGGGCACACAGTGTAGTGGGGGGGGACCCACATGGCACAGTGTGAGCCCCAGAGAGCACATTGGAGGCATGCTTGTGGCCCTCAGCTACTCAGAAGTTGGACAGATATGTCTTACTTCATCATATGAACTGGCAGAAAGAAAACTTTTTATAGAAGGGGAAGGTGCAAGGGCAGAGGAAGCTGACAAGGGAGAGGAGCATCTTGTAGCAGACCTGCCTTCTGCCTGTTATAAATACAAATGTAGATTTTATCTACTTTACAATATACAGAGGTACGCGGTCATTTTAGGTCACTTCCTGTTTAGAACAACATTGAAATTAATTTGGTTAAAATTGAAAGGAACATCACTCCCTGTTCACTCTGAATGTTAATGTGTAAAAACCGTAATCTGGGTTCCTTTTCATAGGTTTCTTGATTACCAACCAATTAAAATATCTTTATAGAGAAAAGCAATGGTTCTTATATTTTCTGCCAATCAGATGGTTTTGTTCTATCTGCCTGTCTGACCAGCAGGTGTCCAGAGTTTGCAGTAATTGAGAGATGTCTACAGGGACTGAGCCAGGCAGATGGTAATGGTTCATAAGAGGTATGCTGGGGAAGTTCCAATGCAGCCATAGCATCATGGCTATAGTGTGGGTAGCCCTGTGGATAATAAAAACAATACAGACCACAGTGCCTTCTGTTCCACACTACTTCATTTGGATTTTGCTCCGAAGGGGAGGTGAAAGTGCCTTGGAAACATCCAGCTGAGCTCTTTCTTATAGTAACTCAAGATCCTGCTAACCAAGAAGTGCGTGGGAGAGGAAAAGGTGTTCAAGTGAAAGTTTAGGTTGGGGTTAGGAAATTGCAAATAGTTCAGGGTTACAAGGGAGCAAATGCAAAAGGGCAGATGTTTAGCAAATGCAATGGAGGCAGAGTATCCTGAGGCCTAGGTATAATGGCCTTTAAACAAACTGGTGTACATGGCTGTGACCCGTGTATTATACAAAGTGATTTGTTTACAAGTAGTTTTGACATGGATCTAATAGATTCTTACCCAAATGTGGAAGAATAATATTGTTCAGGAGGCCACATGTCCTACATATGCCAGTTAACTTTTCTAATGTTGTAATTTTTATATTGGCTCATAAATATCATTGCTTGCCTGGCAGCCATACACTTATGACAATGCCAAGTTTTGTGCCCTGCCAAGTTATCCTTTACAAATGTTAGGAAGACCTTATTAAGACTTAAATAATCCTTTTCTTTTCTGTACCTTCCAGTCAGTTGTAGAAGAGGTACTGGGAGAAGTTATTGTCACTTATAAAATGTTCTGGAAAAGTGGTGCGACAAAGTTGTCTATATATTGCCAGCACTGCTCTTCTAAGGAGTCTTGAAGTATCTAGAAAAGATATTTTAAATAGATGTCTGAATATCTGTCTAGGTAGCTAGATGGCGTCTATCACTGTAGTGTCATGCTGATTTGCTGTTGTGATTAATTGCTGTAATGGCAGGAGCCTCAGAAATACCTGGTGTGCAGAACAGATATGGGGAGACGGATATATAAAGGCAATAAAATAAAGCTGTATTAGTTATGCTGTTGTTATTGAATTATTAGTTTTCTCAAATAAGATGGTGAACAAGTAAAAGGTGCCTCTACAGTGAAATGGTTTAGATCAGCGGTTCCTAGTCTGTGGTACGTGTACCACCAGTGCTACGCAGACAACCTGTTAGTGGTACACGTTAACAGATTTATTATAATTACTTTATAGGACAACAATTTGCTGGCGGTACTCAAGGTTGTATCATTTTAAATTGGTGGTGCACAATCTGTCAGTTTAGGAACTGCTAGTGTAGATGAAACATAAGAAATTAAGACTCATGTAATGCCTGTTTGATCAGAATGCATGAAAGCTAATGCTTGCTTTTCTTAACAGGCATTCGGCAGCGATGGGTCATGGCTGTTTCTGCTATGCTCTGATACATTCTATTCCAGTTGCTGTCTACATAATTTTGGTAACAGGTCTACGTTACCACCTATTCATATGGAGTGTTTTCTCACCCAAGCTACTTTATGAAGGAATGCATGTGTTCATTACAGCTGCTATTTGTGTGTTCTTCACAGCCATGGATCAGAAACAGTTTCAGAAAATTCAAGACTGAAAGTGAATGTACTGTACAGAACTGTGTCGTCATGGTACCCAGGGAGTTACTGGATTAGATAGAATGAAAATGATGGAATATCCTGAAATTCAGAGCCATTTTTATTATTATTATTAACCTCCACCATATATGCTGTAAAGGATTTACATTTATTTAAAAAGATTTTGCGTTTTAAAAGGTTGAACTGGAATAGATCCAGTTTTTCCTATTATTTGTTACAGCTCCCTTATTCTGTACTGGCCATTCTGGAATTGATGAATATCCATAGTTATAATATTGCTCATTCATGTACATTTCTCAGTAAGCAGAAAGTTTAGTTTTTAGCATCTTGTTGGATGAGGCTTCAGATATTAAGAACTATTTAACTAATTCAGTTTTATAGTATTTTATCTGACGGTCTTCATAATTAAAGGCCTCATCCTACGGAAGTTACTGGGAGATGTATCAAACCTTAAATGAAAATACGGTCCTTCTTCAATATGGGAAAAATGCACTTGTCAAATGTAGATTTCTTTGGATATTCTTACACTGCTCTTTTTGTCTGTAATTTCATACTCTAGTATTTTAACTAGGAAATGTTAAAGGCAAGTTTATTAACAAAACATTCCCAAAAAGCCATTTACCAACAGGAATAACACCATTTTGAAGTAATCTCATAAATTTTAGTTATAGGAATAAGTTGTAGGTGTTTATAAATTGAAGAACGTATATTTTCTTGTAGAGTAAAATAAATAATGGTCAAGGAACTGTGACTTGGTGTTAGCTATTTATCAAACTAACAGTTCTTTGACAGGTTTATATAACAAAGCAACTCATATTTATATTTTGAAGTGCTTAACGTGGAAGGTATGGATAAAAATGATATATGATGGCCAACCTTTGTCAATGGAGTCCTTAATAGCTGAAGCATGACAAATCACTGTGATATTAAATATTTTATGTAAACAGATTTGTATAGATATATAGCCCAATGCCTATCAAGCTTCTAAAAGTGAGGAATTGTTCTGAAATGCTGTACATTTTTACATAAACTTTATAGTAACTATAATTTATACTGTCACAGTTTTTTCCTTAAAATAAATTATCTCAAGACAATTCATAATGATTTGGTGAAGCTTATAAGGTCTTATGTTCCTTAACTGTGATATCCGTGTTTCCACAGCATGTGTTTTACCTCCCATCAAAATCGTGTAAGTCTTATGCATAGTAATTGAATGTACTTTTTTTAGCAATTTGCTTTAGTGAGTGAAATATCTATTCCATTTCTTAGATGAGTGCTATAATTAAGTTTGAGGTACTTCTTGATTTCTTTCTCCTGCCCTTTGGGCAACAAATCAGAAACATTAAGGGCTAGCAAAGTAATGAATCTTCTATGAAGCCTGAATGATTAGCTCTCAAGTGTGGTGTTTCCTGTTGCTAAATATGTATAAATGTTAAATCATACTGGTTGTTGCACTGAACATTTCTACATGTTTTTCACACAGCCACAGAAATGTGAGAGCCTTCAGGAGTGAAAGAGCTAATGAACTCAAGGGCAAGGATACTTTATTGAGATATGTCATATTCCCTTTAGCTTAAAATCATGCAATATGCCCTCAAGGATTATGGCACAATAAATACACATCTCTGTCATTTTCCATGGTGCTGTCAAGAAAACAAATACATTGTTAAATAGTCTATAATAAATCATTCTTTTAATATTTTCTTAACTTCTGTTTTGGTCTATGTAACAACATAAGCACAGTCAGTATCTCAGCTAAATGTATTAGAGGTGTGCTGAGGGATGAACAAATGATGAATTTCATCTCCTCTTGCACTGCATCCATCTGAAAGTAAATGCTTTTGAGACCTCTAAGTCATTACTGAAGCTGATGGCCCATTTGTTAGGATTGTTAATGTCCTTTTTCATCTAATCTCTCAAAGTAAGTTACAGAAAGATGCCCCTTCATTTTGGTACGTGCACTTCCATTACCAATAAGAGACAGCAGACCTATCTTTAATCACTATAATGTGTATTCTCTGAATGGGCAATCTCAGTATTCTGGACTTCATATCATTGGTGTTCAGTTGGAGAAGCTGCATGAGAGACTAATGGCTCTTGAATGTCATTAGCAGTGACGTGTTAATCTTTGGAAAATGAAATATTGGTTCTTTTAAAAAATAAAATGCTTTAACTATTTATTATATATGGAATATTGGAAATATTTTTTTATTTGTGAAAGTGTCTTATACATGCATTCCTTTTATGCTCAGTATTTTTCTGGTTACTTGTTGCCTGGCAACAGAATGGAGGGTTATTGTCATCTTCTGTGTTTGCTTTCTTGATAAATTCTGGAACTGTCCTTAATTTGAATACAGAATATAATTATAGGATAGTAGATCCTAGTGGGTGGTGGCAGGCATACTAGCAACACAAGGATATACGGAGAGTGCAAGAGGGGAAGCGCTTTCTGGGGTAGAGCAAATCAATCCCAACCCCTCCACTGTGGGAATGATTGGTTGAAATTGTATGGGTTCTTATGTAGAGGAGGTCAGAATAAATAATTGCGGGGAGGAGGGGGGGAACAGGGCTGCTGCCCTTGTTCTGCACATCTTGGCAATTTTGTCTCCTTTCTATTAGAGACTCTTCCTTTGGCATTCTGGGGAAGAAAGATGGAAGAAGATGAAGCTTCAGCATGCCTGCTCAGTTTGGGGGCTGACTACACTAGCTTTCAACACATCATTTGGACTACAGTATGCTGCTATAGCACCTAGCCACTAGGTGGCAGGGAAGCTGGTTTATACTGAACAAACAATTAGGCTAGGGAAGACATTGACTAGGGGGGTTGGCACAGGACCAGTACATAATTGCTCCTCACTGGAGTGGAGCAACTTCTGTACTAGAATAAGCTGTGTGTTGCGTATCTCCCCCTCATTTATTAAGGAGTAAAGTCAGTTTACTCTACAGTAAATGTGGGTTGTGTTCCCACCCTCGCTCTTCCCAGATTAATATCCTCATACAATATTGGTTACCTCACAGAACAAAAGGAAAGTGTTGCCTTCAGGGGCCTTCCTTGTAAAGCATCTGTAAGCTAGACCAGATGATTGAAACCAGTGAGGACCAACTTTTGGCAGGTGCGTTGCAAATTAGCCACATGCCCTCCCCTGCTGCTCTGCTTTCTGCTTCTTTCCATCTGCTCCCTGCCCTGTTCACTGCTATGCTGCCTGTCCCCTTCCCAGTCTGCTGTGTACCATACATAGATGCTGCATGTGCCACTTGTGGTACCTCTGCCACAGGTTGGCCACCTCACTCTAAACAATAGGTTTCAGGGGGAGCATTCTCTGAAAAAGAAATCCAGATTCTGCACTATGTTTCTGAAGCGGCTGTAAGAACTCATCTGAACTGTCTCCCCAGTTCACCTTGCTTAGTGCTCAGTGTGGCCGGGTGGGAGTGAATAATGAAACCTCTCTCCCTGGGACTCGCCTGCCACGCTTTGGATTGATGGAAGAATAAGAAGTTAATTCCCCAAGGAGAGAGGGTGTAGTAGATCACCCCCGAAGTAGGATAAAAGAAAACCGATTTATTAGTAACTTCCCTGCAGGTTGTGGAGCACCCTGGCAGTTCTCACTGCTCACGGTCTCCCTTTTCTCCACCACTGTGCAGCCCACTCCCCCAAGTCAGTCAGCTCCACTCCAGTCCCACTCTCTTTTCTCTTTCCTGAGGTACCAGTGGATCCTTTCTCTGTGGGACCTTCTCTCAGCCAGTAAGTTTTTCCTCTCTTCCTCACCTCCTTACTTCGCCGGTTGCCATGGTTACCTACACCCAGTCTACTGGTCTTATCAGCAAGCTGCTCCAGCACTGGGTCCGCCACTCCTGGCATCCCTGCTGAATCTCTCCATGCTGTGCCCCAGGGGGCAAAGGAAAACCCCTTGCCGTGGACTTAAGTAGCTGTTGGCTCCTACTAAGTTAATATTCTTCCCCAGTGTGATCCCCTTCCCAACTGTGTTTAGTAAGTAATTAACTTTGCCCTGTCCCCGACCTGACTCTCCCCCTACCCCACAACTTAATGTCAAAGGAGCAGGGCTGTATTTGCCCTGTTACACTCAGCAGTGATGGTTAAATTATTGTGCAGTTTATCTTTCCCTTCTCAAATCCAATTCATAGTAAATGAGTAAGTTCTTCCTTTCTGCCACTTCTTGCTGCACGTGACAGTTGGACGGAACAAGAATACAGGCAGCTTGACAAGAGAAAGTGAGGATCTTTTTTAAGGAAAAAGCAGCTTTAAAACAAAATATTTTTAAATGTTTTCCCTTCTAACCCATGAGATTTGCTGCTGTTCAAATACAAAATGTTCAGCAAGTGGTTTGGAGAGCAACTTTCTGGGTATCAGTGTAGCAGCCTGCAAAGCTTTCCTTGTAATTCTACAGAGAATGCCTTTAGAGAGTGGGAAAGAGCATAAGTCCTCTTGCAGTTGTAGTACGGCAGAGGTACAGGATTGATTATACAGTTACTTTTAACAGCTACAGAAAATCTAGCAGCGTTCCAACTGGATTGTTTTTCTTTACAGCACTACAAGCAAATAATTGGTTTTATTGTTAAGGTTTTCTTAGTTCCCATTGAAGATGTGTTGCCCAATGTCAATACATTTCAAGTTCAAGACAGATGTCGATACTGGAAAGAGTTAAAATCTATTTTCTGCCATGCTCTCCCTTTCATTTAAGTTGCTCACCTACCCTGTAGCAAATTAGGCCTTCTGGTTTTTTTTTCCTTCTTAAAACCTTCCTGTATGGGGTCCTGAATACTGCTCAGTAGGCAGCCAATAGGCCCTGTTGACAATCAACAGAAACTAAGGCAGAAGCACTCTAATCTTTACATGTCACCTTTAAAGGTTAATAAGCTATAAAGTGATCTATGTAAAGGATTCATGAGGTCAAGGCAGGTGTCTGATGTGGTTGATGTGAGGTACACTGTAGGGGAGTATTATAAAGGGTTTGTGTTAATGACTTCTTTTTCAGCTAGTCCTTGAGGAGTGGGGGGAAGAGAGGGTGTTGCTTTTTGGCACCAGGCTGTGATCCTTCAATGGCACCTTTCATGTGCTCACCCATGCCAGGACTAGGGAAGTCTGAGACAAGGTAAACTGTGCTTGTGTCCCTTCATCTTTATGGCAGTCAGGCAACAGGGACAAGAGGTAAAAAGCAAGAAACACATGAAGCCCAGAAATTGAATTGGTCAGACTTCATGACCATTGTACTTGGACTCCAGATGGCTCACTAGTTAGTGCAGTAACCTGAAATGCTAGAGGCCCTGGGTTTTAGGCCCCATCACCTGCAAGGTTTTTGAATTGGGACTTCTTTCACTTCCCAGCTACCACAACACAAGTCAGCCATTATCCACTCCTTTCTCTAGACCTCTTTCTGAAGCTAATCCACTGTAACATAGTCATTGGAAAAAATGAATGAAAATAGCATGGGTGGGGGAGAGATTCTGCCCCATTGGGGGCAAGAGCACAGGCTAAAATCCAGGGCCCTTCCCCTCCATGCCAGCAGCCACTTCACTGAGCTGCACACCCTCTGGTTTGTTACTTTCCATATCTCCCACATAGTTCCCTTTCATGGCTGCCCAGGGAGACAACTTCAAAAGGGGTGCTAGAGGAGGGGCTGCATAACAGCTGACATATGATATAGTGGTCAGAATGCTGTTCTGCAAAAATCAGAGCCCCAGATCCAAACCCTCTTTTGGGTGAAACAGATGGGAGGCAGAACACAGGACCTCTAGCTGAGTGCTAGAGGAAGGAAGGAAAAGATGAGAGCACTCTTTCTCTCTCTCATTTTGTTGCCAGCTTGTATGGCCAGTCTGTGTGTGTACATAGCTAGTTGTCCAGGAGCATTAGGGCTACACACACAGGAATAGAATATCAACCTGTGTGTAAATTGTTTTTGTGGTTCTTAGGCAAGCATATATGGTCATCGAGGCAGCTGGAAAAGACTAGCACACCACCCATGCTACACAACCAGAGCTGTGACTTGAAAGGAATTGCAGAAAATGGTGGGAGAAATCATTGGACTGGAATTTTGCTACAGAAGGATACAGATTGTTCAGGAGGGACAGTTGGTGAGGAAAGGGAGAAGAGTTCAGGACTAGGTGAGAGGAAGGTTTATTTGAATATCTCTTTAGTGAAGATAGAAGGAAAAAGGTCAAGAATGATGTCATGATTTTGGTTTCTGATGGGCCACCTAATCGTGAAGAATTGTCTATCTTGGCCATGTTCAAGGGTCTAGGACAAGCTGCAGATGTGCTGTTAAGCCGAAGGCCCAAAGCCTGTTTCTGAGTAACCATAGTGTGAACCTTTGCAGATTTGGCAACTAACTTGGTCAACAAGTAAAGGAAGCCATCTGATGCAATTAAACAAAGCACAAGGCCTGAAAGGAGATAAGGTAAGATCATATATTAAATAATCCATATACACTATATTGTAGCTTTATCTTAAAATAGAAGTAGTGATCGATGTAACCAAATGTATTAAATGTTATTTTGCTATAAAAGATATATTTTTGTTCAAATGATTAGATAGTTTATAAAACAGAAAACGGCTTTGTCAGAAAAGACTATAAAGTAAAAAAGAAACAGGAACAGCATTCCACAATGACGAAGGAAAGAGATAAGAAACCCTCTCTCTTTCCCAAGAATATAAATGCCAACTAATTTACACCTTCCAAGTCGACAAGAGATATGGTTCAATCTAGTTCCAAAAGTTTCAGTGAAACAAATAAATGTAAGTAAAACCAGTCAGATAATTTATTAAAACATTAAAGCCAGCCATCTATAAATATTGGGCATAAGCTGGAGAGAAATTTGGAGAACTCAGCAAATTCAAGAAGGCCTGCTGCTAATCTGTGCGCCACACTCCTCCCACCTCTTGAGTCTCCCCAGCCAGTATAAGTGAGAATCTGTTGTGCTGTTGTGGGTAGCCATATAGACTTTGGGATAAATGTTTGTTTTCATGTTTTAAGGTGCAAGCAAATAAAAGGTTGGACTGTAGACCTGTTTCTTATTTTGAGCAACTCATAATAGAATGTAAAGGCCATGGCCTGGTCTTTAAATCAGATTGCAACTACCCATATATGGACAACATGACAAAATGCAGACATCAAGTTCTTGGAATATGTTGGCAATAATTCTTGTTTCAGAAAATGGAGGAA